AACAACACACACACACTATATACATATGTCACAATATATACATACATACACACACACACATACACACACACACACACACACACACACACAGATATATATATATATATATTTATATATAGTGTGTAACATATTTAGATCACGAACGTTTATGAGTGAAATAGCGTTATATTTTATATTATTAAAGTAGTGTAATACCTTACAAGATTATGAGGACTGATCATCTCATAATCTTGTCAAATATAGTCCTAACTAGACATTGCCTACAGTCAGTCCTCTATGGTTACTGACACAACACCTTTTTGTATCCCGAGCGCCCGGCCTCGTCTGTAGTTCGTCACTCGTCCTCTATATTTCATACTACTTTACACTTCGCTACTGTACAGTTTTAAGCTCTCGTTCTATTGGCACACACATACCGAGTCACTCGTATGTGTAAAACCAATGTCACTAGACACACAGCACTGGTATTTCACCCTAAAACTCACCCCTCGTACACCGTAGTCATCATGCATGACTCATTACTACTCATCGACCACACACACATTACAATACACACACACACACACACACACACACACACACATATATATATACATATATATATATATATATATATATATATGTATACATTGATATACATACATACATACATATATATATATATATATATTTATATATATTTATATATATATATATATATATATATATATATATTTATATATACATACATACATAAATACAAACACACATAAATACAAACATACATGCATACACACACACACACACACACATATATATATATATATATATACGTATTTCGGAAATGTTCTCACCATCTCGATTCACATATTGCCATAGCTGTGGTTCTGGATAAATTGTAGGTCTTGGTAACGTCGCCACAATATGCGCCAGCAACGTGGTTTCAGGGGTTTCCCTGTACTTCGCATCAGATACCGGTATATCGTACTGCATGGCTTGCACACCCAAGGATGTTGGGTTTCGGGTCGTATCCGATGCCTTGGGGGGCTCTCGCCAGACTATATTATATACCGACGTCCTCGGAAGTTCATCAATCGACGAGTATGTTGCTACGAATCTATCACGTGTCCACATTGGGGTGGGAGTGAGGTAGAGATGTAAGTACAGGCGATGCCAGCCATCTGGAGACAGCCCGGATAGGTGTAGTGAGGGGAACGGTAAGGGTACTTGGGAAGGCACTGATGTGGGACATCTGTGTATGTGCCAGTGGCATAATAACAACACATGCAGGTGGTTGTGCTGAACGCAAGTGGGAACATATACAGCATGTGTGTGCGAGATATTCACCACGTGAATTGAATACACGCTGGGCGCGTATAGGTTGTCAAGAATGTTTCTTGTTGTTTATATCTGCCAATGAGTACTCAAGTACATACAAATAACTCATGAACGAACCACAAGTACGGCGACACTTTTTGCATATAATTCTGCTCATATAATTCAGCTACATATAACGTGTTTGTGGACGCAGACCCGTCTACACCTTTATACATATACGACATAGACAGCTATGTATATTCAGAACAGGATACATTTACATGCACACAAAGAAATGCACCTGTCTCTGTTGTCGCTGAAGACAATGTCCGAATATGAGTGTCCAAGCGAAGTCATTCTGATCACCTCGGGCGGGATATGCTCCTGTGCCGGCTACGCGATACCACAGACCACGAGAAGGGTAAGTATAAAGCAAATGAATAGTGTACCAATCCTCGTACAAGGAGAGTAAACAAGCCCCAAGCAAGGGGCTTGATAGTTACTGCCAAAACATGAGAGGATCAGAGTTGCAGGAGTGTGGATGTCTCTTGCGTGCGACTAGACTGTACCACCAAATGAGTGAGTTATCATACAATGCATGTGGGCGACTGATGAGAAGCCATTGGCACAATAGGAGTGTGAAGGTGTCCAATGTCAACACTGCACTACAATACACAATACTATTGGAAATATCAAGATATCTACTACCGGTGCGTGGCCTACCCAGGATCAGCCGAATGCCTCTGCGGTAGATATAAACAAGTGCACCCAATGTGTCTTGGCCAATATATTCACTATAAGGTTTGAGATAATCTATAAAAACAACATCAGTCACTATAACGTTATTATAAAGTATGTGACAATCAATACAAAAACCATTATAGTCAATATAGAGTTATACTAGAGCATGTGACAACCAATACAAAAAAGCATTATAGTCACTATAAAGTTACTATAAAGTATGTGATAACCAATAAAAAAAACAATATAATCACTATAAAGTTACACTAAAAAAGTGACAACCCATACAAAAACCATCATAGTCACCATGAAGTTACTATAAAGTATGTGACAACCAATACAAAAACCAATATAATCACTATAAAGTTACACTAAAGCATGTGACAACCAATACAAAAACCCTTATAGTCACTATAAAGTTATATACAGAATGTGACAACCAATACAAAAACCAATATAATCACTATAAAGTTACTGACAACCAATACAAAACCTCTTACAAATACTATAAAATACAAAATAGCACCTATAAGGTACGTTTTTGTGCACCCGCCAAACCCTTGTGCACCCGCCAGTGAACGTACCCCGAGAGAGTACGATTCCACACAGCTGTGATAGGATAGGGCGTACAGATGCACCTCTACAGGACTGTGCTTGGTGGCCAAGAAATAGATCAGGTGACGTGCCGTATCCAGATACACCTGTATGATGATACAGACACAGTTGCGTTGAGTACGTGTATAGTATAAGTTAAAGTAGTATGATGATACAGATACAGTTGAGATGAGTACGTGTATAGTATAAGTTAAGGTATTGTGGGTAGTAGGATTATCTGCAAGACTTATGATAATACAGGCATGGTTGAGATGACTACGTGCATAGTATAAGTTAACTCATAAATTGTAATACTATCTGCAAGACTTATGATAATACAGGCACGGTTGAGATGACTACGTGCATAGTATAAGTTAACGTACTATGGGTAGTAGTACTATCTACAAGACGTATGATAATACAGGCACGGTTGATGACCGATGGCGCGGGCATCGGGTACTCAGCCAGGGTTTAGAGTTTAGGGTTTAGGGTTCGACATGAAGCCTGTATTACAAGCAGTAGTACCGGAGAGTCAATGCATAGTAATACACACCTTCGACGGCTCCACATCCCATGACCCTTGCGTCAGTGGTATCCAATAGGTTCTTTTGATTGGTGGAGCGATGGTCTCTGCTCCGTAATGATCGGAACTCTCTAGACTCTGACGGTGAGATTCGTCCACCTAATTGGGCCAAACGATGTGCGTATAATATATATATATACATATTTATATTTACGCCGTGGAATAAGTCGAATGTACGAGTATTATAGCTGGGGATATATGCCAGCTCAAGCAAGCATCTTTATGTAGGCAAGTACAGGGGTGGTTTTAGGGTTTAGCGTCTTAAGGGTTTAGGGTTTTAGGGTTTTAGAAAAGTATGGTACTTGTCCGATACCAGTGGGCCCATGTTCCTGATAATACAAACTCACGAACTGCCAAACGTATTGCCGATATGCACTAAATGGTCCCATGCTGACATCTGATCCTATCCGTGCTATCGCAGAGTAACTTGCAACCCAGACTCTGCCTTCCCAATAGGCGGCGTCAGAGGCCACTTGGCATACGAAAGACATAGCTTATGCAGCCACCCCTTCGAGATTAGCTACTTCTGGAATACTACCAACCAGACATGTGAGCAATTGACACATCACATCACCAGGCTAATAGGCATACATACCAGTCCTCTACAACGTGCATAGAAGCTAACTATCCACACACACCACCCAGTCAGATACACTTACCAGTCTCCTATCGCGAAGCAATACATCCTAAAACTCAATATATCACGACCCCTGTGTCTGGCACATGCTATCCCATGCATGCAGCCGCAATGGCCGCAGCAAGCAGTGTACGGACATCATGTGGCGTGCACAGTACCACCCGTCTGCACCACTCGCCAGGTGCAAACAACAACCACTATGCGACCCAATATAAGTGTACACATAAATCATATCGCATGCACACCGCACATACAATTAGGCGTGTCTGTTTGTGCCTGTACAACTTTATAAACAAACACACATGACTCCGTCACAGAGAATGCATTGATACCCTGTGCATACCTGTATGTGTGGTGGTGAGGATAGGGTGTGTGGTACCAGATACAGGTGTCGGTGACCTGTGTGCTCGCTGGCCCACAGTATCATGGGTGTACTGACTTTGCTTTCCCTGTTATCGGCCTCGATGAATTCCAGAATGTTGGTGATATTAATCCAACCGGCACTCTTAATTCTGCGCCCGTCACAGGGCGAGGCTCCGCCGGTGTCCGGATTTCCGGCTGTTTCATTGGCCGGCACAACCTTTTCCCCGGCAGCTGATTGGTGGCTATTTTTAGATTCGAGATCAACCCGCGGATGACCGCCCACCGGTGGTCCGTTGCGTGTGTGTACCATACTGCTGTCGCACTCCATACCACACTCCGCTGCGCTCTCTACCTCATCGCCCCCGTCACTGTCCACCACCATATCCTCCTCACTCCCGCCCACACCTACACCTGCACGCACAGATGCTATCGGCGTAGCTGGCTTAGCCTGTGCGTATGCGCGTGTCTGTACTGGCGCGAACGACTGAGACGAGCCGTTGTGCGCGCTCACTTGTGCCCTGTGGTGACGGTGGAACACGCGGCCTGTCCCTTGCTCGATGGCCCCCACAACACGCCTGGGCGTGTCATAGTCGTAGTACTGCATGCACGTGGTATCCACTACCACGTGCACACCTGCGACGTGGTCTTGTGCGTCTGTGGGTGGCGGGTGTGGGGTGTCCAGAGTGTCGGCAGTTGTTGGCAGCTCATAGATCGAGGTATCTGCCGTACGGGATGTCACATACGTTTCATCGTCTTCACGGGCTGCTACGGTGGAACACATCCTACCGTCCTGCACGCGACAACAAGTCGCCGCACACGTGTCCAAAGCCCCGTTGCCTAGCGACGGTGACCCCGTGCCTGTCCCGCTTTTGGTCCCGCTTCTGCACTCGCTCTCACTCTCACTTTCGCTTGCGTGTTTGCTTCCCGTACCACCGACAAACCCGCGCTGTGTCCCCGTTTCTGTACCCCCCCTCGTGGCCCTCGGTGGGTGGCTATGGTTGTCCTCTGGCGTTGCATACGAACCCCTTCGTGACACTTCACAGTGTGTACGCGTGGTCAGGTTGTTCTGAGTGTTAGGCCCGGCGCAGCAACAGAACTCTCGTCGGCGCTGTGTGCTACCCACAGACTGCCTGCGTCTGGCCCCGGGTGGTTTATGTGGGGATGCGTTAAACGGCGCTCGCGCGCACTTTGCCGCGGGTGTGCGTGTATGTGTGTGTGTGGGTATAACGTGTTGTGCTGGCGTAGAATGGCTTGATGCCTGACTCTGGGCCTGAGGGGCTGGCTGTGTGTCCATGGGCACTGGCGGATGTGTGCTTCCCGTCGGTGTATTCGCGAACAGTTGTGCTTGGGTATTACTGCCCTGCGAGCTATGCTTGGCTGATTGCGACATGCCGGTGCGCTCGTGTACTGTAGCCTTCCCATTGCTACCTGCAGGCACACACTGGTGGCCACTCTCCATCGGTGGTTGTGGTGGCTGTGTGCGGCAGATACAGACACAGACACAGACACACGCAAACATGTGCACAGGCACACACACCAGCGATACCCTCTCCTGCTGCCGGCTGAGCAGCTGCGCCCACACATACCGACCACTCACATGCCAACCACACCGTACTATATACTCAGCAAACGCAAACATGGTGCATAGGGGTGTGTGCAGGGTGCGTGACACGGTCTGTAGCGTCACGGAGCCTGTGCGTGTGCACTCCCATATATCTGCCATACACAGCCGCACTGAGGCATTGGTAGAGCCCGCGCAAGGGTATCTGCCAGAAGGGGTGGTCAGTGAAAGGGGTCAAACGTTTTACTTTGGATGCCAGATAAGGGGTGCTACACGAAAGAAAACGACTTTGTTAGATCGGATAGCAACCCCAGAAACAGATTCGATACGTATGTATCTTATTGTTGATGATGTGTGGTCTCAGCATGCACGCGCAGAGACGTTTTTGGCGCACAGTGAGAAACAGAATAATGTGGCGCGATATACGCTAACAGACATTCATAAGACAAAATATCTCCCCAATTTTCCGTTCACGAAATACAAACTAATAGCCTCAAGCCGTCAGCATACGCCAAATCCACTAGCATTCACTAGACACTCCCGCATGCGTACACACACACACACACACACACACACACACACACACATATATATATATATATATAACTNTATGGATATTATTTATATATATATATATATACTATATATATATATATATATATANACTA